TATCCTACTTGACAAAAACACATATGTTTTTATCATTTTCAAGTTGAATAAGTTAATTATTTATTAATCTAAAAATCTTATTCAATACGTATGATTACACAAGCTTTATGAAGATTAATCATTGTTAAATTATCCGTATTTTCGATGATCATTTAATTCTTATATTTTTTCCTTATCTTATCTATTTGGCTTTTTTTTCTAAAATAACCTCAAATAGAATTATCTTATTTATAAATCTAGAATTAAGATAAATTCGATTTAAAGCTTTTTTCCATAAATTATACTGTATACTATATATAAATGTACAAAGAAATGGAAGCATGCTATGTAGTTAAACATACATCATATAGACAATTGTTTGTATACAAGTACTGAGGTGAGTAAAGCATGCTGATGAAACAACAGAATGAAAAAATCCTTTTATTATATAGAATATAAGTAATACTTAAAGTTTCTTTTTCCATTCCATTGATATAAAACACCGTTATTCTTGATCTATCAATTGGAAAGATTAGTTAAATAATACTACATAAGAAAGTGTACCATGGCGAAATAAGAGTATGAGGAGAGCTCATTAATTCTATCTTTGATAAAATAGTAAAATTTGCGACCTTACGCTTGTACTACGAAATTATGTTTTTTCATAAGTTCTTTTTTTTGACATGCTCTTTAACGGCCTTGATAAAAAATTATGATTAAATATTTCTTCTTTATTTTGTTTTTTTAAAAAAAAAAACAAGAAAGAATAAATGATTTTTATATAAAAAAGAAATGATAAGTATATTGAAAATATTTCCTTGTTACGTTAAAATTAAAAAACAAAAAGAATAAATGACTCATAAGACTAAAACCAGAGAAGAAAAGTAATAATTTATATCCTATTCACTTTTTATTCACTTATTTGAGTTTTATATCTTTAAGATAATTCAACAATTAAAGAACTATAAATATGCATCAGGAATATATATATATATATATATATACGACACAAGGTTAGATATTTTTATACCAGAACCATATATAATATTCCAAAGAGTACATTCTATATATGTACGATCTTTCAAAAAAATGCATTAGCTTTAGTGACTGAAAAAAGACCTATATTTATATTTCTACCCATTCATTCTTCTTCTCCTTTTTTTCGCTTTCATTGTTCGTATTAATTATGAGGGTTCGTATGAAGATTAAGATGAAAAACTACTGCAAAAATTTCCAAACTGATACAGTAAAAAAAGAAGTAGTTTGAAATTTAGTTAGATAATTGTTATATGGCCTTATAAAGCTCGCTGTTTAGCCAACTCATACTTTATAAATATATGATATATTCATGACGGGATGTTATAAATTATTTCAATTTTTATTTATATATAGAAATAGCACATAAACACTAATTGTAATATAATTAGAATAGTTAACAAGCAATACAGTATATCTAGACTTGTTACACACGTTAGTGACCTTGCAAAAAAGGGAGAGAGAGAGACAGAGAGAAAAACGACGAGTATCATTAAGTGTTTAAAATTAAAAATACTCCTTACTTGGGTAAAAGTAGTATATTACCCTTGAAAAAAAATTACCTTAAGCGATTAAACGGTCTATAAATTAATTTTTATTGAATTCTCTCATCAGAAATCAACTTTATCATTCTTTTTACAGACATTTATAAAATATTCAACATATGAGTATTAGGAATTAGGAGGCTATTTAAAGTACCTAAATTTTATTGTATAGCTATTGTATTTAGTTAAATAGGAGACTTCTATTACGATAATAAATGCTAGGATTCTTTTAATAGTCCTTTTTTTCATAGAAAATCCAAGTTAAAAAGAACTTTTGCTGATTTATGCTCTTTCTTTTCCCTTTCCATAAGTTTTCTGATATTTGAATCTTTTAATTTATTCGCTAAGCTTGCATATCCTTACATAATCTAAATTCAATAGTTTGTTAGAATACAATATATACAATATATACAGTATATATATATATATATTATTTATATAAATATATTAAAGCTATATAGAAAGCCTTATCTAACACTTAGAGATGGTAAAAAAATATAAGAAAAAAAAATCTATATTCTATAAAATTTGTTTTTTCTGCTTGTTCAATCAAATAAAAGTGAATATATCTTGAATTTTTTTAATAAGCAAACGTTTCAAGGTTATTCATTCAATAAAAATGAATATACTGTTATATGTTGACTAGTTACACTGTTATATATATGTATTTATCTTTATATATGTATATTTACATTATATATATATATATATATACATATATGTATTAACATTCCAAATCTATTGACTGTAAAAGAATGAAACAGAATAGAAAATTAAAGCTAATAAAACTCTTTTAGAATGTTCAAGTCAAGTGATTTCGGAATGGTAGAGTTCAAGTTTTACTGTTTTATATATATATATATGACTTTATTATTTGCATTGTTGAACGAGGAATGAATTGATTCTATTCCATCTGATTATAATTTGTAAATCTGCAGTTAATTTTAAACGTTACACATATTTCTTTTTTTACAAATAGATATCTTATAGTATCAACTTGTACATTTGACTAATATATCACATACTTATTGATTTATTGCCTATATTTTGCCATCAGGTTTTCTATTAAATAAATAATATCTGGCAAAAATACGTTAATTATGCCATTTGCGGCAAAGGCCAAAGGCCAAAAAGCTTTTCGTTGTAGAAGTAAGATCTTAAAAAACTATATGAATCTACTGTATTTAGTATATGTATTTATACTAATATATATACATATATACAGTATATATATATATATATGTATATGTATAACACATTTATATCATTCATGAAGACTGAACCCTAACTAAAAATAACGTTTCAAGCTTTTCTATACCGTGTAAAGATTTACTTTTACCAATATTTAAATTACTCTTAATTTGCAAAATCTCCTTATAGAAAATTTAAAATTTCTTTAGTTTTTACCTGGAAACGTATGCTGGAATATTTATTAGGACAATAAAATAGGACAATAAAACGTTTACTTATTTAATAGATGGCGTAGCCAACGCGAAAACCTAATGCCATCTAATGTCATTTTCTAACAAGTTCATCTTTGACTAGAAAAGTAAATAATCACAGGCTTAAGTGATACAAGGCCATTTAATAATAAACATGTAGGTATATGTTCTTTAGAATTTTTATCGGGCCTCTCGACTTATTCCTAGGTCTATAACTGTTTTTTCTGGCAGTTTTTAAAACCCGTTAAAAATTCAATAGCATATTCTCTCTAACACTTGTACAATTAAGAATGTAAGTATGCATGAGTCAAGTGACGTCACACGAAAATTTGCGACCTAAAAATAGTTTGTGTGTTTTGAGTTTGCAAAAAAAACGTCTACTAATTAACATGTCATCGATCGTGTGACGTAAATTGACCACGTGACGACGTGGGCGACGAGAGACGCTCTTCTGGTGGTGATCACGTGATTCGTAATATTCCGTCTAAACGAGCGATGTCTTTTTTTTGAAAATTCAAAGATATAATTGTCTGATGAGTAAACTAACGGTAGAAATCATATTGAAAAGAAGAAAGATTAAAAAAGCTTAGATCTATAGTAAATAGTGAGAGGAATTGTCAGTATAAAAGTATATTATATACAGTATATATGTATATATATGTATTGTACATACATTTCTTGAAATTTTGTACGCTAAAACCTGTTTAATATATACCTTTCAACGTAAAGTGACATATGTATATATTCAAGCGATCATACTTTAATCTGTTTAATTAAATGTATATATATATATATAGTATACACTTGTATTTATATAAGTATATATATTTAAAATAGCGATTTGTGAACAATAACAAGACAGGGACCATAGGTAGTGAATAGACTTTTTAAAAGGAGAAAAAAACATTAAACAATACACGAATAAAAGAAAGAAATTGCTACTTGAAAGAGGGAAAAATAAGGGAAAAAAAAAAGAAACAGTGGAGTAGACGGCTGCAGTAAGGAGTAGGAAAATTTTTCGTGGGGGCGTCACTACGTCACAGAATGGTTCCAATTGAGAACAAATAAAAATAGCAACAACACTGCTGTTTTTAGAAAATAGAGAAACGTTATCAGGAAAAAAAATTTGATAGTAAAAAATAACCAAAATAATGAATTGCTGGGAAAGAGAAAATTAATTTAAGAAAAAGAGAGAGAGAAGGAGGGAAACAAAAATAATAGGGGGAGGAAGATAGAGATAGAGAGACAGATTGAAAGAGCTGGAGGAAGAAAAAGATAAAAATAAACAGCTAAACAATACAAAATTTCATAATTAAATAATTTAAATATAATTTGCCTTATTCATTATTAACAACAAAAATACTCATCAAAACTTGCAAAATACCTTCCTTTATTTATATATATATAGACTAGTACATTTATTTAAACAGTATATAAATATGTATATATAGCATATGATATATAATAACTGTTCTAAGATATTCTATACGATATTGCTTCCTCTCATTCGATCTCTGTTTTTTCTGGCCCACCGCCCCCACTACATTTTTTAATACTTATAGACTATTTCGACATTATTAGAAATGTACTTGATAGGCAAGTTGAGTAATTTTATTTAAGAGTTTCATAGACAAAGGAAATTCATATATATATATATATATATATCTGTCCATATAGTCAGCATGTATGGCATAGAAGAGGTACAGAGTCTTTATAATGTAGGTTTATAGATATAAATAACTATCAACACAGCTAACTGAGGTTTTGTCAATTCGAGAAAATTTAATATTTCCTCCTCTTTCTTACTTAATTAATCTAGTTATTAAAATGATCTTTAATCTATATAGGCCTATCTGTTAAATAAAAATGCTAAAAACCACGATTCATAGGATTAAATTATAAAAAAATGATAATATTATCGACTTTCTATGCGATCATCTAAAACCAGTGGAAACTAATTAAATATTCGCGTAGGCCGACAGGTCGTCAGGTGGCGCTTATAGCAGTTTCTTTTTTCACAGCAACAAATAGCTTGCGTTCTGGACGTTGAGGCTACAGTGTACAATAGAAAATTCTCGTAAGATATTTGCTGACAATTATTCTACATTGGACTTGTACAACCAGAACAATCGTATCGTTCATAAATCTTTACGAAAAACGACCGGAACAGGAGTAGATCCATAAACATATTGTTGGGAGAATCGATTTTCTGTTGTGGATGGAGGGCGAAAAGAACAGATTTTCAGTTCTCTGCTTTGAACAGGTTAACAGGTTGGACTCAATGATGCGGCAGGAAGTTAACATTGTCGGACGTGGTAACTTCCCCCAAATTAGAGTTCAACTTATGGACTTCGTTAAAAAGGTTAGAGAAAATCTTATGTCATCCCATGTTTTGGTCAAAGACATACGGTTAAATGGAGGAGCAGCCTCTTACGTCGTCCATGATGCCCCACATACTGACAATTACAACGACATCGATCTTATATTCAACGTTCATTCGCTAGCTACTCACGTCGAACTACAAAAAGTGAAGATTGCAGTTCTAGAAGCATTGAGAACCTTCCTACCCGACGATGTTAACCGAAGAAGGTTATCGGATTGCTCTCTAAAAGAAGGTTATGTTCAAAAACTGGTTAAAGTCTCCACCGAAACTGACCGATGGTCGTTGGTCTCCTTGGCACAGACCGACGGAGGTCGTAACATCGAAATCAAATTTGTCGATTCCATGAAGAGATCTTACGAGTTCTCTGTCGACTCATTCCAGATTGTATTAGATTCGCTGCTGGCATTTAGTGAGGTACAGCCACCTACTGTAACTGAACATTTTTACCCGACGGTTGTGGCTGAAAGTATGTTTGGTGATTTCCAAGAGGCTTATAAACACCTTGAAGAGAAACTGATTTCAACAAAATTCCCAGAGGAGATAAGGGGGGGTGGTTTATTGAAATATTGCCATCTTTTAGTAGAAAAGTATGAACCAGCTACTGACATTGATCAACAAAGTTTAGAACGATACATGTGCTCGAGATTCTTCATTGACTTCCCAGACGTTGATCAACAGGCAGTTAAATTAGAATCCTACCTATTTAATCACTTGAAATCCGAAGATCTCCTTGCTCGCTACGAATTCTTTACTGTCTTGCATTGGGTCATAGATAGCTCTACGATCTGTTTAATGAAGCATGAACGTCGCCAAACGTTATCCTTAATCGAACAGTATATGGCCTCAATCCAATTGGAATACGACGGCAGATTTTTAGCCTGCCAGATACTTCAAGCTGAAACCGGTTTAATAGTTGATCAGGTCTTCTACGGACCATTTCAAATGCCGGATTTGAAGAATGCAGTAACCTATACGTTTACGTCGCCTTCCACTTCGTCGTCGTCCACGCCTTGTTTATCGCCATCTCCTAATGTTATGTATGCCTGTACAAATTTGGCTTATTCCTGAGGTAACAGAAAGAGATATATAAATATATTTATGTATATATAGTATATGTACAGTATATAGGTATGTGCTATATAAGAAGCTATCTTTCTGGATTAAAAATTATACAGAATGTAAGTCTTATATAAAATATGTTTATTTACATATGTACGTACATTACCATATATATATATCTATATCTATATATATATATTTTAAATTAAAAGACCTATATGTATGTAGAATAGAAGTAATTGTGGCAGTAATGCCAGGGTACATATGATAATATATACGTGTATACAACAAAAAGTGTATAATGTATATGTAGATATGTAATTTGGCTTTATTTAGTTTACGGTCCAAAATTAAGGATTAAAAAAGATTTTTAAGCCAGTTCATCGAGCTCTCTAATACTATTTGAGGTTCTATCTAGGCTTCTGAAGAGAATAAAATATTTTAATGGCGTTTCGTATTTCAATATGAATGATCATACGCCTAAACTAAAATATAAAAGACAAAAAAAGAGGAAAATTTTATTTGATAAAAAAAAAATACAAACAATAAAAACATAAATTGATGAACAAAAAGGAAAAAATATTAAATGTTTAACAATGAAATTATCATTAGAAGGAAAAAGTTTTTGTTAAGAGGGACCACTAAACTAAATATATGGATATATAACTACAGAGAAATGCTACTCTTTTCTCTATTTTTGTATATTATATTCCTGCATATATTAGAAATAAGAGGACAAAAAATAACGTGTTCATTATATATCTGTATATTCAGAGACGCTTATATATAAGTATATATTTATTAAATGTATCTATATATTTATATATCTGTCTACATCTCTGGTTTATGTAGATGTATACATAACGTATATAATTAAAATTATTGCTTATGTATACATGTACAATTTACTTTTCGATTCGATATTGTCTATATATTTTAATGTTGTTTTCTTCAAGCCGAACTCCTTTATATACGACTGAGTATATGTATATATTTTTAAATATGTAATATATATACATTTATATATCGTATAGATGTGTATATTGAATATGTATTTTACATGTTTGCATATATAAATATATATATATATAAACATAAAATATGAACGAACAAAAAAAAGACATATTGTAATTTTTGGCGATCTTGTTTCTTGTGTTTATTTTTGTCACCTTGAAAAAAAAAGGAAAACGAAAAGAAAGGCGTCTACATTTGATTAAAAAAAATAATAACAATAAACAAACAAAAAAATACTTAAGGAAGAGAGGAGCGAAAGATTGAGGAAAGGACGTTACAAAAATTTTTCCTGCTATCATTGTAATATAATAATAATAAAATATAATGAAATACAAAAAAAAGAGACAAACTATAAAAGTTTTATTTCCGTTAAGTTTATATATAAATTTATACTTGTATGCTTGTATATGATATAGAGTATCTCTTTATTCTTCCTTCAACCTATCCAAAAATTAGCTTAAAAACAAATTCAAGTTCAACAAAAAACACTGTAAAAAAGTTTTTAAAAAATTGTTTTTTTTTTATTTTGCTCATTTTTAATGTAATAGACTTACAGCTGTTTGATAGCTTATCAAAATATATGAAAAAATACGAAGATAACCAAAGTTGTGCAATCCGTTTAAAGTAGGCCTATACATACTGCATCAACATTGCACTAGGTTTTGTAAGTGAAGCTGTGTAACTGTTGGAAATGCTGTCAATATTCCTACTTTCTTTAGAAGTATAAAAAATAATGTAACTGTGTAAATGACCGATTGATCCCCGGAATCGATTTTTTATTTAAATAGGCTTATCTCGAACTGGTTGAAAAACAAGGTCAGATTACTTAATAACAACCGAAGTAAAGCTAATCAGATGATATTTAGATAATTAGTCTTTAAATAAAAAAAACACTATTCTCTTCTATTATTATTTTACACGGAAAGAAGGAAATCTAGAGAAAAGAGAAATTGAAGAGAGCCGCTAAAAACAGATACGAGTACAATAAAAGTGCAAGCAAGATTATTAATAAATTTACAGAAGATTAAGTGAAGTCAAATGAACAAGGAGGAAGGAAAAGAATAAAGGAAGAGTTGGAAGGCTAGAGAAATGGAGAAAGAAGACAAAAAGAAAGAGAACTGTATATGATAATAAAAAAAAAGAATAATTAACATAATAATCTTGTTTTTTTTCTCTCCAAGGACAATATTGATTGTAAAAATATTATATTTAAAAAGTCAGAAAAATATTCATCCCCCTAAGTATTCGCCCATCTGCCTGCTCCAAAACTTTTCATATAAAAACATTTCCTCGTGCATTCATAAATCAATACATACAAACACAGCTGTTACATTCTATTGATTACTGATCCTAATTCAGTATTATTTATATATATATATATATATATATACACACACATACCCACATACATACATATACATAAATATATTGAGAGGTGAAGAGAGAGGAAGTGGAAAAGGAAAAGAGACAGACAAACAGACGTACAGATAGAGAAAGGAGAAAAAGAGAGAGAAAGAAAGCTAGACAGACACATAGATAGATAGATAGAAAAAGCGATAAATAAGCATACAAATATACTCATATATATTCATATACAATAGACATACTGTACGCAAATCGTTTATGAAATGATATTATAATACCCAATATAATAATAATTAGTATATTCTTTACTAGAATTTATTATTGTTTTGACATTATAAATACTTTGGAATAAGAAATGAGAGCATTTAGCCTAAAGGAGCAATAATTTTTCTATCTTGATGCAACTGACTTTCGTTATTCTTATGAAATTTCTTTTCTTTTTAACGGTTCATTGAAATTAAGGCTAGTCGAAACTCATTAATAGTTAACTTGATTTCTTTTTCTCCATCCTGTAATATTTCACGCGATATTTCTCTTTCTTTCCCCTCTCTTCATTAAATGTTACGAATATCGGAAGTTTGATAATAACATCACGGTAGGGAAAGACTAAATGATATAAACCATTAGACAGGTTATAAAATTTTTATAGAACGAAACTATTTAATAGTTAAATAAAACGGAAGGAAAAATATATCCCTTTTGAATAATTTACTAAAATTCATTTCTCATTTACCTTTATTAATTAAAAGTACCTTTTTTAAGCCCTTTAATTCTTATTCACTTCTATTCAATAACTACAAACTAAACTCTTTTCTTTTCTTAACAATCTCATTTTCAACCTCGAAAGTCATTATCAACTTATTGATAACTTCTTCCTTATAACGGAAATGCATCGCAAATCGATCGACATCTGCTTTAGAGATTAGTTTTTATGCATAAAAGGCTTACAGACATAAATTAGGAGAGAGAATTATTAATAATAAATTGTTTTTTTATAGAGTAAGCTTAAATATTCTAATTAATTCATTCTTGACTTTCTTTGTAGTAGAATCAATACCTCAGCTTTCTTATTTTATTCAGATTATCCTTCCCTCTTCTTTCCCTTTCTAACTCTCTTTTACCTCCCTTTATTCTTCTCTATTTTTTCTAGCAAAACATATAATCGTTGTATACGTAATATTTGTCTACTCTGGAATATTTAACATGTAGACAGCATAACGTCTTGGTGAATAGTAAATAATACATATTCAAAACTAGTCGACTTATCGGAAAACAAGAAAATTCGAGAAATAATTTCAAGGTGAAGGTTCTCTACATGTATTGACAAGCTTTATATTATGAATGAATTAAAATGGAGAAGTGTTGTTTAATCGTCCCGTCTAAGACAACAATATCTATCTAACGTGGATCTATAGGCTGTATTTTACGTCTAAACCGTCTTTTCCGACACGTTTGATAAATGACTATGTACCATATATGTAGAATATGAAAGCATTCAATGGATTCATAAACTATACAAGTCTCCCTTTCAAAATCACGAATATACGTTATTAACACAACCTTTAAGCGCCTCCACCCATTTTTTAAATACATTTCACCAAGTTCACTGGACAAGCAAAACGATTGTAATAATATTAATAAACACTACAAATAATAATAGGGGAAAAATAATGAAAACTTGTCAAAGTCTCCTTTCTCTTATGTTTTTTATCAAACAAACAATGTTTGTGAAAAAAAAAAAAGAAAAAACCTTACAAACAGAAAGTAAAAAGTGTTGAACAACTAAAGAATAGAAAATCACAGGCTAAACATAAATATCTAAAAATAAATGGGGCGAATAGGTAAGTCAGTGTTTGAAAATATACATAAATAATAATTTCTCTTCTATACTTTGTTATAAGAATAATACAGTACTTTGCTGTTGCAAATTAATAATTTTGTATTTTCATAAAGAAGTTATTTCCTAATATAGGTTATTATTCATGGTAAGTGTGTTTATTACTTTTCACTCTGAGCATTATTGAGGGAACAGCAGGATGGAAATGGACGTAGAGTGCTGCAGTAAAAAATAGAAAATACATATATATATATATATTTATAAATAAAATACCAGTTATATACAACATACGAACTCAAGGATAGATAATAAAAGGCTTGAATAGTGAATAGTGAACAAGAACTAAAATATATTTGAAAAAGTCTTGAATTTCTTTAAAAGATACAGAGTTTTATAAAACCATTTTTAAACATTCGCCTATTCTCATGTCATGTTATCTTTATCTTTTAGCAATTTTTATCTATAAAAATTTTATCATTACCTCGTTATGTAATAGAAAATATAGGATTGTTTATAGTGCTGAACTTTGTCCTTTAACACTTATATTCTTTATATATATATATATATATATTAATTTTATTCATAGTTATAATGACTTGAAGAGGTACAAAAGTGGTATGACTAGTGAAAATCTATAAAAAGAAACTTGTTTAAATATATTTTATGCAAAAAAAAACAATTACAAAAATTCATTAAAACATTACAGCTTTTATCGTTTCTAATGAAGAAACAGTCCTACACTTTACATATTGTATACATTGTATAATATTTAATACATATTTGTGTGTATAAT